TCCCACAATGTGCTCACAGTGAGGCTGAGCCATCGGTACAGGGTTGGTATCTTCCAACTAGCGCTGCCTGTATCTAGTTCAAAATAACCCCAGGTTGCCGGAGAGCCGGTACTGGCAGGGCAGAGGCTGGTGAGAGAGGGCGTCAGGGAGGTTGGTTTATTATCGAAGTCATAGTGACACTGTGTCTGTCCCACACATCACCCAGAGAAGCTCTTGTGAGGCGTTTGCTCATGGTTTCCCTGACTACCCTGGAGGACCAAGCTGACATCGGTCCTCCTCCCCTCCCCCACCCCATGCCTGCTCCTTTGAACAAAGCTCTGGGCTCTCAGGGCACCTGCCCTGCTTCCGGCCACAGAGGCCAGATGCCTTGCTGGGTTTTGCAGAGGCTCAGGCAGTCCCTGGGTAACCGAGGCTCTGCCTATAACTGTGCTCTGTTCCTTTCCCTCCCCAGAGCCTGAGCGGGTCTCCAAGCTGACTTCCTCACCTCTTGGCCCCAAGAGAACAGGCGGAGCTCAGATGCTCTTACCCTCCAGCCTTGGCTCGACCACGAAGCTCCACACTCAGCATGTGGACGTGGTCATAGACTGTCGCGCACCAGTTTTGGTGACACTGTAAACTGTACATCACCTGCCCACCTGTGCCCTGAACTCCACCTGTTGTGCCAGGGGAGAGAAACTCAGAATCCATCCCCCAGGGCTCAGATCCATCTTCTTCTTCACTGAAGATAGTAGGAACCAAAGTCAGCAAGCTGTCTGACTGATCAGTTAGACATTCCTGCTGCTGCATTTGAGGCCCCTCGAGCCCCTCAGAGAAAGTGGGGTGTCAGGTGAGTGGTTTCCTTCAGAAACAGAGAACAAGCAAGGGCGCACACACATCTGTGAGACACCCAAACAAGAAAAGCCCTACTTCCTGTGAAAACAGAAAATGCAGGAGGCGGGGTCATCTGCAGGCCCGTCAGAGGATGTGAAGGCTGTTCGTTGTCAGTGTCACTGGCTTTTTAGCCCACCAGGAGACGTGCCTCTCAGTGTGTCTAGGTTTCCAGCGAGGTTTACTGGGGTGGGAAGGTCCACACTGCATGTAGGCCATCCCACAGCTGGATTCCTGGGCCTGAGCAGAAGGGAGAGCAAGCAGGGCCCAGGGCTCGTCTCTCCCCGCTTCCTGAGCAACAACCCAGGAAGCATGGCGGCTGCCTCATGCTCCTGTTTGTCCTGTCCTCATGTGCATGGGTGTCTTGTCTGCATGCATGTCTGTACCCCATGTACAAATAGTGCCCTTGTAGGCCAGAAGAGGGCATTGGATGAACTGGAATGGGTGTTACAGGCAGTTGTGAGCCACCATGTGGGTGCTTGGAATAGAACCTGGGTCTTCTAGATCAGCCAGTGCTCTTAACCACTGAGCCATCTCTCCAGCCCCACTGTGTCCTCAAACTGGGAGTCAAAGCAAATCTTCTTTCCTTACCTCTACCCCTGGATGCCATAAACCTCAGCTGTTCTCTTTCTTCCTCCTGCTCAGGGATTCTCTGAGAATTTTAGTGTAAGAGGATATAATGTTTCCCGCACACCGGGAATCCAGTCAGTCTGACAGGTGTGTGTCCCAAGAAGTGCCCGTGGAGCTAAATGATGGAAAACATGTTTTCTCAGCTCCTTTTTCCTGGGACACACACCTGTCAGACTGACTGGATTCACATCAACTCGTTGCAGAATAAAATAAAGTGGTTTTAACAGGAGATACCCGGTGGATCGGTGTTTCCTGCTTTGAAAGGAAACATATTAGTTCTCCCTGGACATTTACACGGAAACAAGGGGTCATTATTCCATGACGGTGTTTCATTCACTTGACATTTTTTTTTGTTTGTTTATTTGTTTTTCTCATATTTATTCATTTATTTAATTAATTTATTTATTCACTTTACATCTGGATTCCTCCCTCTTCCCCATTACCCTTCCCCCAACCCATATCAGCACATCAGGTCACATCAGGACTGAGCATTTTCTCCCCCTGTGGCCTAGCGAAACAGCCCCACCAGGTGAAACTGACGAAAAAGTATGCACACATCCTTGTTAGCCCCCGTTCCCCTTACTAGGGAACCCACATGAAGACCAAGCTGGCTGTGGCTATGCTCGTGTCGGGGTCCTAGGCCGACAGTGGGAGTGGGTGGCTGGGACTCCTCACATCTCAGTGGAACAGGAAGCAGAGAGCTCAGGTCAGAACTAGGGTGTTAATGCTCAAAGCCCTCTGTGCTCTGTGGCTTCACTTGCTAAAGTTCCACAACTTCCCCAAACAGCAGCAGCATCAACTGAGGACCAGGCGTTTAGACAGGAGCCTGTGGGGACATTTCACACTGTTGTATAGCCATATTGTTGAGGCTGAAACATTCCCTCATGGTGGGAAGAAGGAGGCATATGACTTACAAGACCTGGGAAGTCCCGAGAGTCACTTGACACACTCGCCCCCCGCCCCGAGATAATGGCAGTAACTAGCAGCTGCAGAGGGCAGGGTCTAGCAGAGCATCCTGTAGCCGTGCAGTGAGCTTGGGGGTGCAGCCTTTAGTGACCTCTGTCCTGGGGTGGCCTCTCAGGGACACAGTGGAGGAGTCACCCACTCTTCTGTCAGCAACTCCAGTACACCCACTGGTCCCCAAGGTAGGCCGGGGTGGGGCTGCCTCCTTTGTCTGTAGTTGATGGTCTGTCTGGGGAAACGGACATTAGCTCCTGTCAGGTAAAGTCACACAGCCCACACCCAAGCCACACTCAGCACACCCACTAGCTTCGAAAATCCCACCTCAATCAGATCTTGTGTTTGCCCCCTCTCTCCATTTCCCTCAGGCCCCCAGTGTGTGTGTGTGTGTGTGTGTGTGTGTGTGCTCGTGTGCCCACGTACACGTGTGAGCACATGTCAGAGGTTGGCTTTGGATGGCATTTCAATCACTCTCCACTTTATTTTTGAAACATCATCTCTCACTGAACCCAGAGCTCAGTAGACCAATAGCTGGGATCCTCCTGGGTCCATTTCCTTGCAGACTCACTCTGTCATGCCCAGGGTTTCGTATGGGTGCCGGGATGCTTGTGTGTTGGGCACTCAGCCTCCCGAGCCATCTGTCTCCTGGCCCTTATCTTTAGGAGACTTCTCTTATTTGCAGTTTTCCATCTCATCCTATCGACTTCCTGAGCCAACTGTGAAACAATTGCTTCTCCAAAGCACCTTTTGTTAGTTTTGGGCTCATTTTGAGACAGCGTCCTTTCCAAGCCCAGGTTGGTCTTCAAGTTGAGCTCTTCCTGTCTCTATGTCCTAATATGGGGATTAAAGGTCTGTCTCAGCACACCAGGTTTCCAAAGAGCCTTTTAAGAAGAGGCGGATGTGAAGGTCACAGTCTGGGCCCTGCACACCGCACTTGCTCACTGCTGGCCTAGTCACTGTTCTGCTGCTGCGAAGAGACAAGGCCGGGGCAACTCTTACAGAAGGAACCTGTATGTGGGGGCTCGCCTACACCTTCCAAGTCTGTTACCATCGTGGCAGGAAGCACCAGGATACACGGATAGCCCTGGAGCAGCAGCTGAGACCTTTCCATCCTGATTGGCAAGCCAGAAGAGAGACTGGCGTGGTCTGGCATGGGCGTTGGAAACCTCAGAGCTAGCCCCAAGTAACACGCTTCCTCCAAGAAAGCCATACCTCCTTATCCTTCTAATCTCTTCAGGCAGCTCCAGTCCCTAGTGACTAAGCGTTCAAATATAGAAGCCTGTGTGGGATATTCTCATTCAGATACAACACTGTTCCCCATTCTGGGGGAAGGAAAATCATGTTTGTGAGCATCATGATACAGTTAATTGAAACAGAAGTTTAGAGTCTGTACTGTTTGGGGGGGGGGGCTGGAGAAGTGGCTCACTGCTTAAGAGCATTTGAGTGCTGTTCTCACAGAGGACCTGGGTTCGGTTCTCGGCACCCACAGGCAGCTCACCACCTTCCACAGCTGCAGTTGCAGGGGATTTGATCAGCTCTTCTGACCTTCACAGGCAACAGGTAGGCACAGGGTAACAGACATACGTGCAGGCAGCAGGCACATACATTAACATGGGCCTGTCATACGTCATGTCTGCTCTAGATCTAGAGAGAAAAACAACAGCTGAGAAGGCTTCTCTCTGACAGAACATAAGCTCTATGGGGAAAGGCAGTTCATTCATAAAGAGGACAAGGGTGGAATGATGGGGTTTTAAGAAGGCCTGATAAAAACGGCCAGGTGGCTAACGGGTAGGTCAGACCTGGTGCCTGTCCTCGGGGGCAGGGCCGGCTCTCCAAGACATGTTACAGAGCTGAGCCAGGCAGCCAGCCAGCTCTGTGCAGGCCTGGGACAGAGCAGACAGGAGGTGCAGACCTACCTGGGGAGTCTGAGCACAGGAAGGGCCGGAAGTCTGAGCCTGCCAGCAGGTGATGACTGCGATGAGGTGAGAGGCAGAGTCACATCTCAGTGGGCGCTTTCCAGAGGCTTTCAAGGCACAGGAGAGGAAGGGATCTTCAGACTGTGTGGACTAGATGCTGTGGAGGAAGGAGCCAGGGGACAGTGACAGCCCAGGCATGTGGCCATGAGGGTACACGGGAGACACAAGCGATAATTGGGAGGAAGGACTCAAAAGTTAGGAGTGAACTGGCGATGGGGTTTGAGTAGCCCCTGCCTACCCCGTCAGTACTCATGCCCTTGTAAAGTCTCCTCTGGATGTGGCAGACCTTGTGACTTGCTCTTAACAACCCGTGGAGGAATGGCACCCCCACGTTTGCCTTACATAAGACCCGACTTCTGGCTTGCCAGATGCCTCTCTGCTTGCTCTCCCCTTGCTCACTTTCATCAAGGCGGCTGCCATATGGAGAGGCCCAAGTGGCCAGGAACGGGGGTTGGCTGGCGGCCAGCAGGATGCTGGTGCTTCAGCCCCAGAGCCCATGGGGGTCTGAACCTTGCCAAGAACTGTGTGGAACAGTGACCTGAGGCTCAGGGGGGCCCTCAGCCAGGCCAGGCCTGTCTGCAGCCGGGTAAGAGGTGGCATAGCAGAGGAGGGTATGATGTGTGTCCGCCCCGGCCTCTCGGGTCAGCGGGCTCCAGGGACAGCCCCGGGCAGCAGCAGGTAAGCACTGGCGGGCTGAGCAGAAGGGAGCCGAGCACAGGGCCTCGGCCTGAGCATCTGGACGGAGAAGCAGGCGTTGGCTGAGGTGGGGAAGCCTGGAGGACAGGGTCGTGGAAGACAGAAACAGGGATTTTGGTTGGGCGGTTGCATAAGTGTGCACAGAGCACAGTGAGACCTGGTGACCACCAGCCTGTGGGTGCCGATCAGTGTGCTCAGGCGCTCAAGGTGACAGGGTCATTGCCAGCCCCCCCCCCACGGTGCTGTGGCAATGGGGGTCCTCTTCTGCCTTGCTGGGGTTCCATCACACGCTCCTTCCACTCGCACACACACTCTGCTGGCTCCTTTATCCCGGGCACATTCTTTGGGTTAAACGGGGTGTGAGAGCTCATGTGGGAAACGGTACACACCGGCTAGACTGAGCTGGGGCTCGCCCTGGCGTCACGAGCTCAGGCGGCTCATCACGCGTAGGTCTTGTGCTTCCGTCCCTGTCACAGGAGCTCCTCCTTGGCCTTGTGACCGCCTTCCCGTTCCCTTCTCTTGATTCATCTCAGGCTGTACCACACTGAGGACATTCTCTGGTCTCCCCCAAACACCAGGTACTAGTTGTAACTAACTGTCTTGTTGACTTTATAACTGTGGAACAATGCCAATCTTTCCACTAGACTCCAACCTTCAAAGGAGGCTTTATTTCACTTGCTTTGCATCATTTTTGCCTTATTCTTCATTATTTCCACAGGATAGAAGTTGCCTGGCACATGATGGGTATACCAAAAATAAAAACCAGGCATGATGTCACAGGCCTGTAATACCAGCACCTGGGGGATGAAGAAGGAGGGCTACAAGTTCAAAGCCAGGCTGGGCCATGTGAGGTCTGGTGAGAGAAGGTGAGGGAGGAGAGGGTGAGGGAGGAGAGGGTGACGGTGAGGGCAGGACAGAGAGAACTGATGACTAGAATAAATTGAAGGGCTTGATTCTCACTAACAAAGGGGACACTGGGAGAGAATGAAGTGCTTACGAATTAACTAAGGAGAGATTAACATTTATCAGGTGTTAGGAAAGGCGAGGAGAGGGACTTTGAGAGAGAGACACTGAGCCGAATCCTTCAGGCAAAGGGCCTGCCCAGACCATAGCAAGCACTATTCTGAGGGTCTGAAGTAAGACTTGGCAGCCATGCGGTCAAAGCAGCTCTTCTAAAGGTTTACAAGGGAAGGGGATGAGTGCCACTTGAGGAAGCAGGCTCAGTTGCTGTGTGTCTGTGCTGCGTGGCTGAGACAGTTGGGCAGGGCTGTGTGAGGCGTTCGCTCTTTCTCTGGGTAGGCGAGCTGGTCTTCCTGCCCGGGACAGCAGTCAGGACACTTCCCATGAACACCGCTGGGAAGCTGGGAGCCGGGCAGGTTCTTGCCCTGTTTGCTTTCTTGGCTTAGGGACTCCTTTCTTGAAGGGCAGGGGCTCCCACAAAGTTGGTGTCCCACAGTGGGAAAATCCTGAGAAGGCCTTGAAGATGGAAGGTTGATCTGGCAGACACAAAACCGAAGCCGGGGGCTGTCACAGCAGGGCTGCACAGAGCAGTAAACCCTTCGAGTTTGTCGGTGTGGCTTTGGTTCTAGAAGCCAGGCTGCTTTGAGGAGACTGGAAGCTGGGAGCAGGAGGCAGGAGGCAGGAAGCTGGAAGCTGGAAGCAGGAAGCCAGAAGCTTATCCCCAAGCCAGGCACTTGCTGGCCTTGACTCTGCCTGTCCAGCCTTCCTCCAGCCTTCCTGAGAAGGAGCCACAGGCGGAGCCCTGCCAGTGATATGTTAGTCACGCGCGTTAGGCTGGCTGCACAGCTCGCTGGCTCACATTTCTAAGTTGAGACTCAAGTAGAGATTTGCACTGTGTGGAATGACTTTTTCTGTTCATGGTTACACCATCAAGAGACAATTTGTTTTTGGTTTGGAAAAGAATATGTCTGTGTGAATATACACATTTTTAGTACATATGTGTGCTTGTGTGTACATGTGTGTAAGTGCATGTGTGAGTTTGCATGTATGAGTGCGTGTGTGTTTGCATGTATATGTCATACTTTTATCTCTGTCACCAGTTATTTAACAGAAGCTACATAAGAATGAAGATTTGCTTTGCTCATGGTTTCAGAAGTGTCAGTCTGCAGGGCAGGGAGGGCGTGAGGGAACAGAGCAGCTCCCAGGATGGCAGATAGAGCAGAGAGCAGCCATAGCAAGGAGAAGCTAGAAGAGGCCCAGTCTAACGGGCACCTCATAGCCTGACCCTCCCAGGGAATTTAGGTTCCGTCAGCCAGCCGTCATGACCTCGTGTCTGGAAACACCCTGTGGGTGCAGCCAGAGGCCTGGCTGATGAAACTCCTAGGTGTCTCTCCACCCAGCCGGGCGGACAGAGTTAGTGTGACGGTGTGTATGTGTATAAAATCATCATACAATGCTTAGACAAATGCACCAGGCATGTCTTTTACCCAACAATGAGGCTGCTCGGGAAAAAAAGCACTAATCGTCGGAGTCCAACTCCTGGTGAAAGTTTGTCTACAGGGAAAGAATCTGTGGCGCAGCTCTGCCGGAGCCTCTTCCTGCCTGGGGTATTTTGTAGAAAAACTTCCCCAGCTGGTAGCTCCCTCGTTAGCCCCCAGGGCCCAGCAGCAATTATCCAAGCATGTATTTTTTGTGACAGGCTTTGCCGTGTGGCTTCCAATTCCACCAAAAATCAGTGGTGGAGAGCTTCAAAAAACTAAAAATAACATCAGAAGTAATTGGATTCAGAGCAGAAACTCCACTTGATGTGGCCAGAGGAGCAAGTTCTCCATTCCCACCCAGAGCGCTGGCATCCAGGCACACGGTTAAATCCAGCACGTGGTTAAAGACCAGAGGACGAATAACACAGCTCTACCCCCGTTTGCACCCAAACAGCTAAATCACCGAAGCTTTCCACTTTGAACAGTCAGGACTTAGTCAGTCATAAAATTTGGTGGTGGGAAGTAATTGAAACAGAAAGGGGGGAGAGGAGGAATGAAGAGACCAGTGGAAGTGGCCAAACTCCAGCGCCCAGCTCCTCACGGTGCCACGGATCCTCAGCAGCAGGAAAAAAACATCTTCTAAACAACTAAACTCATGTCAGCGTGGGAAGAGTGAGCACTGAGGTGCCCTGAACGACGAGGAGGCAGTTTCTGAAGACAGAAAGTGACAAGAATTAAGGAAGCCTCAGCCCAGCATGTGTTCAGAGAGGCCTGGGGTGATGAGATCAGTGGCAGAGAAACCCCACGGCCCACGGCAGCCCGTACAGAGGCAGGGGAGGGGCCTCCTGTGGTGGGGAAGGTAATTAAAGAGCTGCCTGCCTAAGCCCACTCCAGCTACCCATGTGATACTCATTAACCAGCGCATTCTTACCGAGGTATAAACGAATGTGCAGGACGCCCAGATATTTGGAAGGAAGCCATTTTTAAAATGGGCCAGAAGGACAAGTCAGTTGGTAAAGTGCTTGTGTGGCAAAGTGTAACCTCAGAACCTCTCTGAAAAGCTGGCCTCAGCTGGGGACTCAGGGACAAGAGGAGCCTGGGGCTCACCGGTCGGCCTGTCCAGCCGAATCGGGAACTCCAGGTTCAGGGAGAGACCCTGTCTCAAAAAGAGAGAGCCGGGGCTGAAGGACGGCCCAGCGGCTATAAGCACTGCCTGTTCCCACAGACGCGGGCTTGTCAGGACTCACACAGCCACTCACACCCACCTGTAACTCAGGCTCCGGGGCACCCAGTAACTTCTTTCTGGCCCCTTGGGCACCAGGCACACAAGCAGTGCAAACATATAGGCGAAGTACCTATCTACATGACTGAAAAGAAGGCAGAGGCGTGACAGTTAGAAGTGCACGCTGCCGTTGGGAGGACCTGGTGTGGTCCCCAGCACCGCGCCGGGCCGCTCGCAACTCCCTGTACCTCCAGCTGCAGGCCGGCCCACCCCTGCTGACCTCTGGATGCACCCACACTCACATGCACACTCCTGGCCCAAACACACAATTAAAGTGCAAACAAATAGTTTCTGGGTTTCTTTTGTTGTCGTTTTGTTTGTTGTTTGTTTTTTTTCAAGACAGGGTTTCCCTGTGTGGCCCTGGCTGCCTGGAGACCAGGCTGGCCTTAAACTCAGAGATCCACCTGCTTCTGCCTCCCAAGTGCTGTGGTTAGAGGGTACACCACCACTGCCCAACAAATCTTTTTAAAATCGACAAAACGCCTGCAAAATTTGTAAAAGAAGTACAGTAGAGACTGAGGAAAGCACTTGATGTTGCCCCTGGCCTCAGCACACACAGACACACACACACACACACACACACACACACACACACACACACACACGTGCACACACACAGAGTGGGGTATGCACGAACAGGTGTGCACACATGAGAGAAAATCATTAAACAAGAGAAGAGACAAAACATTAACCTCAGATTAAACAGACAACGTATGATGGAGGGAAACTGGTAAACTTTCCTGTGCAGCTATAAGGCAGAAGCAAAAGCAGCGCCTTAGGATGGGAGCGAGGGGAACACAGGTCTTCATGGAGGGACGGAGCAGGGTGGCTCTGTCCTCCTGCAGCTCCTAATATCACCCTCCACTCTCCTGCCCAGACCTGTGACCCCGCCGCACTTAAGCCTCTTCACAAACACATGTGCAAAGCTTTTGACCAGCATCCACGGATGAGGAAGAGCGCTTCCTTACATCCTTTCTGAGTTTGGGTCATGTGGCCTAGTATCATACCTCCAGATTCGTCCGTCTTCCTACCTTGTGACTCATTTTTCTTTAGAGCAGAACAATGCCCAGATGAACTGATTGAGACACACCTAAGAACCCTGCTCCTCCACAGTAAACCTCCTGTAAAAGGAGGGAATCATTCTGTATATATTAATTAACACAGGAGATTATTACAGCAGAAGCTTTTCATACGCCAGCAGAAACTTACTAGATTCATAACAGGTCTTAAAGCGCTAGAGCTGGACAGATATCAGCCCCCTAAGCTGTCTTGTTTGATTCCCACTCCAAACCCCAAATACTTCCACATGTTCCATCTGAGCTGTTTCTGCTCTGTCGGGCCAGTCCTCAGAGCAAGGCGTGCTTGGCCACGTGCTTCTGCTTCTGCTTACCCATGGTGACTTCCTGGCTCCTCTCCATCCTCCTCCTTCTCTTCTCCTTGTGGTCCATCCTCAGACACCCCCAAGCTGGGGAACTTCCATTCTGCCTACATCTCTTTTGGCCAGCCCAGGCTGTCAGCAACATTATTAGCCAATCTGGGATAACTGTGGAGCATTCCTTACATCACATGGATACAGAAGATGGTTCAACATTCATGCCCATGGCAGGGCGGAGAGCAGATCTCAGGGCACTGAAATCGGCATCTGAAAACAGAGGGCACAAGACAACCTCCCAACGTATCCTTTACGTGAACAAGGTGGGAACTCACTGCCCATGTAATAATAGCCATAGTTAGTAAAGAACTAGATTGCTGACCTCTGACCCTAAGCTCCATCTCTCAGCACACAGTCACGCAGGCCCCACTCCACAAGGTGAGGCCATTCCACAGTGGACATCGCTACACTGACTTGCTGTCTCCTCTGCTTTAAGACTCTCGCCCCTTCTACTGAGCCACATTTTCATTCTCGCCTTTTCTCTGATCGGCATTTACGTGGATTTGTCAACCTCAGTTTCTCTGAGTGACAAGCTTAGGTAAAGCTCCAAAGCCAGAGGCAGGGCCCAGGTGCTTTGCTGGTCTTCCATCACAGTGCATTTTTTTGATCATGGGTCTGGAGAAGGGACATCGAGTCTAAGCGGTGGTGCAGGTTGGCGTGTGGCGAGGAACTGCCAGTCTCCTAGGCCCGATGACAGAGACGTCCACCATCTCTCCCCACTTTTGAGTTGTATCGCTATGTTTTCTTTTCTTGTGTTTAATCTCACAACACCAGGCAGAAGAGATTGTTTTCCATGTCTAGTTAAACAAGACTTTACAAAACCCGCTAATGATGTAACAAATATTTGGAAACAAGGCAGATTTTCTTGGTGGATTCCATTCTGACTCTCACACTGTCCCTAATGGAGGAAAACAATCTCTTTATTCAGAACTCCAGCTGCCTCCAGCCACGTAGGTAGACCCACCAAAGCCCCAAACATCTTCAGGAGCGCTGATGGGAATCACCAGCCTGGGTAGCTGGCAAACAAAGTCTCCTGAGAGTCCAGGCGCACCCACCTGATGTCCTCAGCTACTTCTTGCTTGGTCAATGCTGTGTCAGTCCTACAGACATTCTGAGGGGCAGGGCGAAAGGTCAGCGCTCTGCTTCCTGCCAGGACTGCAGCCAGTGCGCAGAATGAGAGGACCAGGCCTTGCTCTGCGTGCTGGAGACGCTGGGTTCCCTCCCGCAGCCCCACATACACCGACACAGTGTAAGCCCAGTGCTTGGGATGAGACCCAGGGGCATCGAAAGTTCAAAACCATTTTAAGGAGCTAGGGCAAGTGCCCCTGGCCCTCGGGGCTTCAACAGGGTTCCTAAGGAGGAGATTGGAAGGAATGGGGGAGGGGAGGAACAAGAGATGCGGGAATGAAGCCAAGTCTGTTCATCTGATCAAGGCTTCCGTTTATTAGAAATTTTTATCTCACTTATATAGGGAGAAGGCAGGAAAGGGGGAAGGTTAATCTACTGCTGCAGGAGATAGGAAGATGCCTTCATGGGTTAAATATTGCACCTGCAAGATACCGTAAGGATGTTCTCTTAAGATATCTTACGGATGCTCTAACAGACGGATGTCCTCATAATCTGTCACCCATGATTTAGGGTCTTAGATAACTCTTTCACTAAATAGCTTTAGGTCTCCACTAAATGACCTTTGCTCTCTACTTGGCTTTGGCTTCAGTAACTACCTTTGTCTCCACTAGATAGCTTTGACTTTGGCTTCCGTAGATAGCTTTGGCTCCTGGCAGGCAAGATTAGGGCCAGCCCGGGCTATGTGAGACATTGTCGCAAACAAACAAATCAAAACCCCCGACCGACAAAACAAAAACAACAAATCAAGATACCACAGAGCGGGGACTTGACTCAGGCAAAGCAAGCCTACCGTTGGTGACGCCACGGTTCCAGCCCCAGAGCTGCAAAATTCAAAAAGAGAAACAAAGATTCTACAGGTCTTTCACCTTTTTGGTTTTCAGTCTTTTTTTGACGTCTTTAGACTGTTACGTGCGTCTGTGCACACACATGCCATGCGTGTGCAGGTGCTCAGGGGACCAGAAGACACTGGGCCTTGAGTCTTACAATCAGGTGATTGGTAGGAGTCCAGTTCCTCCGGAAGAGTAATCAGTGCTGTTAGCTCCCAGCCAATCTTCAGTCCCTGCACTTCCTGCCTCCTCTTCCTCTTGAGGAGAAGGGTGCAGGTTTTGTTCAGTTTCTTAGCTCCTACCTTGCTAGCTGTGTCTAATTCATCACGTCTTGGTAGAGCAGACAGGTCCTGCTCAAAGAGCCTAGCCGGATGCAGCTTCCGCTTCCTCACGTCGGCCCGACGGGGCTGCCGCGCTCGGGCAAACCCTACGCTGTTGGGGAACAGCCGACAGGAGATGCCCTGCTGCATCGGGACCCCCAGCCACCCTACGTTTCCCTGTTCTTCCCTTTGCACCATTACCACGAGCCTTTGCGAGGAAAGCTGGGATTAGGGCGCTGAGGCAACTGTTTATGAGGCGGAAATCAAGTTCTGGGTGACTCACAGGCTCACAGGAAACCTCTGCAGACTGACTCCTGGAACAAGCGTTCACACAATTCCTAAAGCACATTAACACTCCGAAGTGCAAGTTCATGCCGAGCCCAGTTCCCTGTAGTCCCCACTGCCTCCGGGAGCAATGGGCAGGCACCCATGCAGGGAGACCCCCGGAGCTGGCCCCACCATGGTGGACAGCGGCCGTCCCTGGCTACAGCCTCCTGGGTCTCCCTGGCTAGCTGTGTCCCGGTTTCACAGTTCCCTCAGTTATCCCACACACCATCAAGGCAGGAGGGAGACGCCTAAGAGTTGTTTCTTTGCCATCTTGCTTCCAGCCTGTCCCCTGCCTGTCCTCAGCCTGTCCTCAGCCTGTCCCCTGCCTGTCCTCAGCCTGTCCTCAGCCTGTCCTCAGCCTGTCCCCTGCCTGTCCTCAGCCTGTCCTCAGCCTGTCCTCAGCCTGTCCTCAGCCTGTCCCCTGCCTGTCCTCAGCCTGTCCCCTGCCTGTCCTCAGCCTGTCCTCAGCCTGTCCTCAGCCTGTCCTCAGCCTGTCCTCTGCCTGTCCTCAGCCTGTCCTCTGCCTGTCCTCTGCCTGTCCTCAGCCTGTCCTCAGCCTGTCTTGGGGCCCGCTGGTTTCTGGACCCCAGGTTCTGTGAGGTTGACTCCACTGACAGATATGGTGTGCTCAGGGAAGGCACACACACCCTGATCCTGCCTGCTGGTTCCAGCACACAGGACCAAGGCTGTAAAGCCTCGGCTGGTGAGTTAGGGACATGGCTCCCTGGTAAGATGCTTTGCCACACACACCCCCCCTTAAAGCATGTGACATCACCCAGGGAGATAGTGGAGCAGGACCCCCAGGCAGGTCAGCCGCCTAGACAGGCCAACAGGCAGCCCAAGGTCAAGTGGTGAGTCTGTCCGGATGTGTATGGCATGGAGCAATCATGGGAGATGCCTACATGAACTCTGGCGTCCATGTGTCTGTGTACATATATGCATGTACACTGGCACACACATACAAAAACACATACACACATGTCACACAGACATGCTAAACACACATCACACACATACACATGGATACACAAACACACGTCACATAGACATGCTAAACACACACACACACACATACACATACACACAGATACACAGACACACCACACATAGACTAAAACCTAGACACACAAAGACCACACACACACAGACATATAAACCACACACACATCACACATACACACGGTACACAGACACACCACACAGACAGGCTAAGCACACATCACACACACACATACACACATGGATACACAGACACACCACACATAGACTAAAACAGACACACACACCACACATACACACATCCCACACAGAAACCTCACACATACATACACATACACAGGAAAAGCGCAATACACTACACACATCCACCACAGGCACACACAATGCACACACACGCGCACACACACACACAGATGCACAGACGCAGCACGCACCCATGGCAGTGTGCGGAAGGTAAATAAGCTCTCCTAAGAGGGCTTGAATGGCTTGTTGGCCTTAACTTGGGAAACTATATCCTTTTAGTACTGTGCAAGGTCAGTGCCCGCCACACACACACTTGAGTGAGGCAGCCACCTTCTGGGATTAAAAGCACAGCATCCTCAGGGGCCAGGACCCCAGGGATGAGGAAGAGGGAGAGGCATGCTCCTGAGGAGGCTGCCTTGAGCTCACCCCTCCCCTTCTGCCGTATGTGGCCTCACCGACCTTGTGAAAGGTCGGGTTCCAAGCTGTTCTCCTGGTTCCTCCTTCATTTTCCTTTCAGCTCCTTTCCATCTTCCCAGTGGCCTTGCCCTACAATTAACTTTGACTCTTTACACTGCCTCAGTGTTTTTTTCCTCTGCTTGAGCCCATCCACTGTAGACAACCGTTCTCAGAGGCCAGAGGACACCGAAGCCGCGGCACAAAATAGCAAGAACCTTAGGAATTACAGACTAGAGATCCTTCCCAGGAAGATACATAAATTAATAGATCTATCTATCTGTCATCTATCTATCTATCTATCTATCTATCTATCTATCTATCTATCCATCCATCCATCTATCTATCATCTATCTATCTATCTATCTATCTGTCCATCCATCCATCTATCCATCTATCTATCATCTATCTATCTATGTATCTATCTATCTATCTATCTATCTATCTATCTATCTATCTATCATCTATCTATCATCTCTCTATCCATCCATCTATCATCTCTCTATCTGTGTGTCTGTCTGTCTGTCTATTTATCTGTCTGTCTATGTAACAAAACTCCACTCTTGGGAGTTTTCAGTCACGTCTTCATCTATAGTTTTTACGTTGAACTCCACATAGGAAGCTCCCAGGGCCTAGCAACCGTAGAGAGATTGAGAACAGAAGGAATGGGCCAGGGCCCTGTCGCCACGAGTGCAGAGATGGCTTCCGCCAGCAGTGTGCATGGAAGAAGATGAAGGGACGCTGGTTTGGAGTGGCCACTTTCCTCCTCCCTCGCTCTGGAACCTGGGGGTGGCAGTGGGTGCCCGGGAGCCTGTGAGCTGGCTTTGTTCCCTATTGCTGGCTTTGGGTGCTTTGTTCTGGATGCCCCTCATGGAGACGGGGGAAAGGGGGAGCTTTCAGGAATCAGGGCTCCTGGGTGAGGCTAAGGCACAAACCTCCACACTTCTTGCCCTTCTGCTGGATTTTCATTTTAATGCGTCTTTGTTCACAGATGATTACAATGCTATATAATACATTTTGATATGGGAAGAAAGGTTGCGGCCAGCCTGGGGCGGAGGCCTCGGGCTGCGGGCTCTACTTTCTTACAGTACTGCACACGCCTGCCGCCTTAGCGCACGCTGGGAACTTGGCCGGCGGCAGATGGTTGTGCTTTTCATGTTATTTTAGAAACAGTAACACCTATGATTAAAGGGAGCGTGGAATGCAGGGAGCCGGAATCCGGCGAACCCAGCACATCTGCCTCTGCGGCCAGCTCCTATCAGGGTTTTATTGTGTGATTTAGTAACACTATGTTTTTTTTGGCTGCGCGTAGCACTGGAGATTTGACTCTCATAGGCGCCTGGCAGGCACTCTACCACTGGGCTGCACCCCAGCCCTCCTTCTGCTTTCTAAGGTGAGGTAGGTTCTCATAGGCCACAGGCCTGTTGTGGCAAGGTGGGCAACACAGCCGTGTTCTTCTGGGTCACCTCTCCTCACGCTCCTCCCTCAGTCACACACGGGACACACTCCAGCATAGCCTGAGCCACACTCATGTGGCCCTTCTCACTCACCTGTGGTGGGCTCCCCGCAGTGGGCTTAGCTGGTCCCTCATCTGTACAGACCCACGTTCCTTTGCTCTCTGCTGCTGACCCGGTTGTGAATTCGGATGGCTGGTTCTGACTGACTCTCTGGTAGGTTTGAGCAAAGCTGAGAGGATTCTTATCTGAAAGTCTTGGGGACCCCGGCAGAGGCTCAGTGGGTGCTGGTGCGAGCCCAGCCTGGTGACTTACACTCTTTCCCCAGGACTCACACACCGGAAGGAGAACACCGAGACCCAGAAGTCCATCCTCAACTCCCGCTCGCACGCTCTGCTGTGTACACCCCCCACAAACCAACACGAGATCGAGTGGTTAGCACACTAAGTGAAGAGTTGTCCTGCACACACAGGGACCCGGGCGGGGTCCTCAGCACTCAGAAAAAGGCCTGGCACTGTGGCACACACTGAAGACTCAGCTGTGGGGAGCTGGAGACAGGTGGGCACGGGAGGACCCCTGGGGCTCACAGGCATGTGCGCGCACACACACACACACACCCTAAATCAGTGGGTCCCAGGCCCATGAGAGACCTCACCTCAGAGGTGCTGGACAGCATTCCCGGAAGTAACGCTGTGTGCTGTCCCCTGAATTTGCACATTCAGCCGTGTGCCCTCATGCCTGTGCATCTACCTGCACACAAGCAAAAGCAGAGTCAGAGGGAAGCCCCGAGTGAGAGCCTTTGTCAGGAACGCTGGCGTGAATGTGCTGGTTTCTGTGCAGATTCGTGATGTTTTGTTCAGATGGAACCTTAGAAGTCACACAGTGGTCACAAGCAGACTCAGCCTTGTCTTAGGCAACGCCAGCCCCCGAGTGGGGGCCATGCACCCAGCAGGGGCTGGCTCCTCTCACCCACTCCGGGTAATTTATTTTAACTGGCCATTTACAGGGAGAACGTGACCTCACCTTGGCGTTTGGTTCTTTAGTCTCTGTGAGATCAAGCGTCTGGATGGGATACAAACGGCGCGCGTTCGCGGTCTCTTTTGAGAATTCTTATTTTCCTTCCTCAGCTGTAGCTGTACTCTTTAAATGTCTTCATATAATCCAAAAGTCAGTGTTTTTACAGTTATGTGGAAATCTTTATATCGTCATCTGGAGTTTATTGGGTGTTTGGGCTGGGGAACCTCACTTTTTCTATGCGGTGTTTCATCCCGGGGTCTCTGTCACCGGGAGGAGGGCAGCAGCTACATCTAGCTGGGCCGTGAGCACAGGGTTCCGTCATCAGAGCTGCCTGAAGTCACAGAAACACTCAGATATGCTCCTTTAAGCCTACACTTAACTGAAACAGTAGGACATTTTTTTGTCCTATTAGAAACTTAGAAATTACTTTTTCATGTTCTTCAACTCACGAAGGTCAACAAAGAAGTTCCAGGTCCCAGACAGGCAAGTGAGCAAAAAAAAAAAAAAAAGTCTCAAATGTGATGTGCCATTTAAAAATATCCCAGCAGTGGTGAGCTCAGTGGTGTAAGAGTGCCAAGCTGGTGACACCCTGGTTCCCGGGCCACATGGTATCAGGAGAGGACTGACTCCTACAAGCTGCCCTCTGCCTCCACACGCACACTTACATGCATAGAAATGTGATAAAAATGATAAAAAAGTCATCATTGGCTGCATCCTTGAAAAATACTAATTTGCAGGCTGGGGAACATGTTTTATGGGCGGTAACTCACTGGGCAGTTCATCAGCTCTGTTCATGGCGTAGCTGAGTGTTTTCTCAGGGTGACCGACCCACAGGTGGCCAGAGACCCTCTCGTAATTAAAGGGCTGAGACCTGGAGTGCAGCTTGGTATCCACACGGCTTCCTTCTCAAACATGAAGGACCCCAGCGCAGCGCCTTGAGCCTACAGAAGAAGAAATTCCTGTTGGGTTTCAATGACCTCTAAGTAGCTGAGCCTCGAGATCCTAGAGAGATTGTGCCAGCGACCATGAGTCATGTCCACCTCGGACCGCCTAGCATTTGCTGGGCTTCCGTGGGGCTGAGCACACGCTGAATCGCCAGGGAGATCCCATCCTTAGGTAAGTTAGTGTCCTGCTTCCTTGCTCCAGTGGGTTGTCCAAACTCACAACATGCACACACACACACACACACATATATACACTTACACACACAAAAAAAACCCATACAAACATACACACACACACACACACACACACACACACACACACACACAGCCCCCCCACCCCCCTCACGGTTTGAGTCCAGCTCATTCAGCACTGTCTTCAAGGAGCCTGACCACAGCACAGCCGCCAGGTAACTGCAGGTTGTCACGGCTACAGGGTCAGCTCAGTGTGTCCTCAGCCTGGAGTGCAGCCAAGGTCAGCAGGGTGAATAGTCTCCGCTCCTTCGACATCCCACGCCTTAAGCTATCTTACAGCCACAACTGAGCATCAGTTTATAGTTAGTGTTAGAGCCGCGCTAGTGTTCAGAATGCACCAAATTGGCTTCTGGTGTTATCTGTGAGAGAGTAACTAATTTCCTGCCTTTCAGGGTCAACCTAGTCTTAACCCCAGAGCATTCCTGGGAGCCTCCCCACCCCCGCTGCAGGGCATGACACCGTCTTTGAAAATCCTAAAATTATCACGTAGAGACAGTTAACTTTGTCCTTTTGCTCTTAGGATTGTGTGTGCACGAGGGGGCGTGTTTGTGTGTGTATGTGTGTGTATGTGCCTGTATGTGTGTGTATGTGTGTGTATGTGTATGTATGTGTGGGGGTCTCTAAATAACTGCACGTAACTTTACACCCAGTGAAGTCAGTTTCTGAGAAGCATCTAACTGGGCTTGCCCAGATTCTCCACAGCATCTGAAATTGAGCCTCCATCCTTCATGAGGGGCCAAGAAGCACAGAAGACACAGGGACACAGCGCCTGTGTCAGAGCAGACACGGGGACACAGCGCCTGTGTCACGGACGTTCCCCAGGTACACTGCTGAAAGTGTGCGGTCTGTCACAGGCTTCGCTCAGCAGGGGAGGGAGTGTGGGGGAGGGAGGCTGCCTTGGAGCTCACCACAGCCATGTGGGCAGGCCTAGAGGACTGGAAGAGCTTTGTCCCTCAGTGCCCTGTGCACAGTGTGGGGCTGTCGCTTTGCATGGCAGGCACACCTCCCAACACAATCACGTTACAAAGAGAAGGTCTGGGTGGAACTGCTTTTGTGGTTTGTGTTTAAAAGACAGGAACTCTCCCTCTCTCTCTGCCTCTGTCTCTCAAAGCCCAGGATGGTCTCAAACTCGTTATCAGGTTGAGGATGGCCTTGAACCCTCGGCCTTCTGCCTCTGCCTTGACAGCTGGCTCACAGGTGTGAGTCGCTGCATCCACCTGAGGAAAGGATGTTCTGCTTTGTCTCTGAAGGTGCCGAGACCCCTGACTACAGACCTGAGGTGATGCCGCAGATCCCAGAGGAGAGCAGGGAAGTTGTGGGGCAGAGCCCCTCACTCCACTGGAAAGCAAGCAAGAGGAGGAGAAAAGGGGAGGGAGTGGCCGAATTAACCGGAGGCATGCCCCCAAAGACAGAGCTTCTGTCCACTTGGCCCCATCTCCCAAAGACTGCTTCCCCTCTCCTCTCGGAGCATCTGAGGACCACACCTTTGGCCTGAGGTGCTGGAGAGAGATGAGAGATTTGGACTGAAGCACCAGGAATGGGACCTGGAATGGACCCACTCAGGCCGCTGGCCGAGCACATGGTCAGAGGGAGTGAAGGCTCTGTGGGGTCGGGTCTACAGCAGCTGATGGCTGCTTGAGGGGGTGAGAGTCCTCGCTCTGCTGCTGACCACCGCTCAGGAGGTAGAGGACACTCAGAGCATAAAAAGTGAATTGGCACTGTGGTTGGCTGTCAGTTTGACACAGCCTAAACTATCTGGGAAGAGACCAGCAGGTGGGCACCGGGTCAGGCTGTGGCATCCTGGTGGGCCTGTCTTGACCGGCATGGGGAGCTTCGGCCTGTTCTGGGCAGACCGTTCCCAGTTAGCCGTTGAAGCAAACTGGCTGAGCGTAAGGCAGCCTGCGATCCAGCCCAGCAAGGTGCGGCCCCAAAGGGGCACTGGCTGTGAAGACTGAATCCTTGGTCACAGGGAACCCCCGAACCGCCAGCAGGGACTTGGCTCCGACCTCCGGGCTGCAGCAGCAGGTGGGGCAAGGTGCAGTCACTGCCGTGGGCAGTGGGCTGACCGGGTGGAAGCTGGAGCAAAAGTGGCTACCGAAGGTCCCAGGGGCGCGCCAACCTTAACACACTGGTTTCTCGGCACCTGTGCCAGACCCGAGCTGTCAGCGCGTCAGTGTTACCCTGTGACAACACCGGCGGCCTCATCCTCGCTCCCCCAGGGCTTCAGAGACCAGTACCTCGTTTGTTTGCTTTTTGCTTGTTTCGTTTTCGTGTAAAGTGGGTTTATTTCGGCACCTCCCTTCTCCTTTACACACATGTATTTTCTAACACGGGTTACTATTTCCGTCTGTTTTGCGTGGACGGCATGTCTGCTAGCCTCACCGTCGGCTTTCCCTTGCTGTTTGCTGCTACCTGGCAAACAGCTCGCGGAGGGAGCATGAAGCGAATTTAACTTCTTTCTCAGCACAGCTTCACTTGGGTCCGGTCTTGAGTGCCAGGTTCTCCTCCTCCTCTTTCTCAAAGCCGGAGCAGACGAGAGACGTGCCCCTGGGGTAGCGGGCGCAGCACTTGCGAAGCTCCTGGATCACGGCCTGGCACTTGGCCTCCAAGTAGTTGTTGGCCTGCAAACACTTCTGAATGTCACAGGCTTGCTTCTGGCACGGGTCTTTCTGCCGCATGTCCGGAGAAGTGGCGTTTCCCTGACGACTGCGACCAGCTAGGCTGACGATTCCAGGCCGGCGACCCGAGGGCGCTCGGGAGGAGGCGGGCGCATCCCGGGCGGGGTCCGCAGCGGGGCAGGAGGCGCGGCCGGGGGGTCGGGGGCCGGGCCGCGGCCGGAGAGGTCGGGGGAGCCGGGGCTGCGGCCGGGGACAGAGCAGAATAAGGGGACCCTGACGGTTTAGGACCAGAGGCCGCTGTGCGCGGCGATGTCGCCCCAAAGAGCTGTGCGGGCCGCGCCGGGCTCTCCCCAACGGCCGTGCCAAACGGGCGCCAGCACCGCGCACACGCCGCCGCCCGGCGGTCCAGCCTTCCACCCGCCCCGCGTCCACCCTCCCGGCGACCAACCGCCCCGCGGCCGCCCCCACCCGCCGCCGGCTCCTCACCGCACACCGCGCGGGGCCTCCGGGAAAGACGTCTCCGGGCGACGATCTTCCCTAGCACGCGCACCTGTGCGGCCAGCCGGCCAGCTCGCGGGTTCTCACGCCCCTTCGCTAAGCATCACGGGCAGGCTGGACTTCAACCCGGAGGACTTCAACCCGAGAGCCCGGGCCCGAGATTGATGTCTGGAGCCTGGTTCATTGCTTGTTTGTTGTTTGCTTTTGTTTTGTTTTTAACTGAAACAGCAGCACCAGGGAAGCAGAGACGGGTGCAGTCAGCCTGGGCCACTTGATGAGTTTCAAGGTTAAGAAAAGAAGGCTGGGAGATTCCTGAAGAATGACATCCAAAGTTGGTGTACTGGCCTCAGTACAGCCCCCCCCCACCACCACCACCACATAAACTACACACCCACATCCTCAAGAAGGACAGGTGCATAGAAATAAAAACTCTTGGCTCTGCGGCTGAAGCGATGGCTCAGAGCTTGAGGGCACAGAGTTGAAGGCACTAGCTGCTGCTGCAGAGCCCCAAATTCACTTCCGGCACCCACCTGGCAGGCCACAACCGTGTGTCACTGCGCAGCGCTCCCCCCCCCATGCGTGTGGTGCACGAGCATTCACACAGGCCAAACAGCCGCGCACAAAAGATAAATGGAAACTGAAGTTCCAGGAGGTAGGTGCTCCAGATCCATTGAGTCCTCCCAACACTCCACCTTGAACAGGGGCCTGGGCGCTCCACCCTTCCCTGACAAGCTATTGACGGTTTTTCTTCAGGGTAAATTGCTCTGCTCCGGTAACTGACCCTTCACAGAGTCTCATCCCCACAACTGCAGGTAAACCCAGTGAGTCCCAGGAAAACAAACCCACGAAGACATGCAGAGGTCGGAGGAGGAGGGGAAAATGGGCAGGATGAGTGTATACGGATATCAGACTGTCAAAGAATAATCAATGTTTTTTAAAGAACGGCACCAGAACCACGTGTGGTCTTTTGTGCTTGGTCTGGCTGCTGAACTGCAGAGGCGTCCCTTAACCCCCTGGCTCTGCAGCTCTGGGTGGCCTCTCCAGGGACCTCCATCTTCCCATGCTGACTGTAGCAGGCAGGGAGCCATCAGGTCCCCAGGGAGGGGCTGACCCCTGAGTCCTGCCAACTTGTCGAGAATCTCGGAGGCCACCGGCCTGCCTGCCACGGCCTTTCTGGGGAACTGGCGCCTGGTGAAGGCGGTGGCCACGGGGGACACTGATGGGCACGCCTGGCTCTGGAGCTTCCCACCCTGCTGACTCCCAGTCTACCCTCCGCCTGCTGCCGCCCCCTCCCAGGCCCGTCCTCACCCCAGTCTGCTCCTGAAGGGCTGACTGCATGCTGGCCTGACCCTGAGACCCCAGGGCCTTGTGGCTGCCTGAATGCTCCTGACAGATTGGGCAGCCCTGCTGTCCGGCGCCACACTCCTCTCTCTCACTCTCACAGGTGACTTCAGGCAGAACGCCTGGACACAGTGGAGCAGGAGGCAGTTGAGCATTCCTTCACCCTGTCTCCCTGCCTCACTGACCGGTTCTCAGGTCAGTGCCGGGCGGCCATTTCCATTCAGGCTCTAGAAGAGAATAAATCAACTCTCAGGAAGGTCCTGAAGCTTCCAAGACTCATGAGGCCCCTCCTCGCGGTTCTATGAGCAGCAGCCATTCCTTTAGTCACCCTGGTTTTATGAGCAGCACACTAAACTCACTGCTTCAGAGGCTAGTCTCGGGCGCAGCCGCTTTTTGGTCTACTGTGGTGTCCTGTCATTTGTTGCGATCTGTGACTCACTTCATCATAACCCTTCTGTATGGCTGTTATTACTCTGGTTCTGTAGGTGAAAAAATGGGAACACAGAAAGATACCGCATTAGTGAGGTGGGGAACTGGATGTAGACTCGGGCTTTGCAGCCAGTGATGAGTGTCTGTCCAAATCCCTTAGGACTGGAATCCTGGTGAGGTCTTGTAAATACAGACCACAGTCCCTCCTCCTGGGGTTTGGGATGAAGGAAAGCTGGAAATAGGACTTGAACCTCTGTGCCCCCCTCGGCTTCCATCTGGTACTGACGCAGCTGCCCGGGGACGCTGCCCCTGGCAGACACTGTAACTCCAAGTAAGATCACAGCTGCCAGTGTGTGCCAACCACAGCATCCGGAGAGTTTCCGAGCATGGTCCTGGGGGAAAGGACCCTCCAGTTCTCAGCAGCGATCTCTCCCATCCACCCACATGGCTCCTCTCCGCTTTGCCTGGAGAGCCCCATTAGTTTCCTGGGCACAGCCATCTCAGAAACAGGTTTCATCTTGCTGGCAGGGTCAAAACTGAGCCCATGAGCCCAGGCCCCAGAACCCAGCTCCTGTCTTGTGTTCTTCAGACACTTCATGTTTGTTAACCAGTACAAGATATAGCAAGGGAAGTTGCTGTAATCCCGCTAAGCTAGGCTCATGGGCCGTAAATGTGGCGCCTGTCCTGGCTTAATTAACTACGCGCAGCTTGCCCACCCCTTTGCTCCCTTATCTGAAATTCCCGGCCAGAGTCCAGGAGGGAACCTGACTGCCAACAGCTGACTCAGGGACCCAGAAGCCAGGTGACCAGAGAAGGCCCAGCCACCACGTTAGTGCCCTTGCTCACCTCCTAGGCCAAACATGATGCAAAGTGGCCAGTGCAACAGCCCACCTGCTCCCCTCGCTTGTGTCCTAGTCTTTAAAAATGTCCCCTTGGGGGGTGGCTCAGATCCTGACCTGGCCGCCTCCCTGCGTGCACAGGAAGCAAAGCTCGCACTTGAAGTCTCTTTGTCTGCAGCGAGTTTTCTCAGCTTCCATGCTGAACCCAACACAGGCCAACAGCCTGCCTCTGTGTCTCCACGGTGGAGCTCAGCACCACTTTCCTTGGGTGTCAGTGGGGGCCTGGAGCTGACAGGCGCACTCACTGGACACCCCGTGCAAAACCTGAAAAGGAGTCAAGGCAGCCAGACGCCTCAGAGGGTAGAGGTGCTCGGCATGCAAGCCTGACCAGCTGAGTGCCATCTCCAGAAACCACGCTCACAGTCAGCCTCTGACTTCGGGGTGCTATGGAATGCATGCCCCTGCGCACACACAGTAACGATATATATGTGTGTATATACACATACATATACATACATACATACATATACATAAATACACACATACACACATATTAAGTCAGCCTCCCAAGGCGCCCAGAAGTTTTCTAACTAGATTTGGGGAGAGCACCAGTATGAAGACAGCACTGAAGATGTCTCTTCTGATACTGAAGACCATAGAGTGGTGTGTTGGAGACTTTTCAGGATGGATCCTCTGTTTGCTCATTAATTCGGTGAGTATCTAGCTATTTCCTATTTAACGGGGCTGGTGGAGACACACATCATCCTAACTGCTGTAATGTTAGTCCCTGAGTTTCTCAGTCCACAGATGCCCAGGGAACTGAAGTCTTTCCCGCCCACTGGCAGCTGCTTTTCCTGTGATCTCTGTGAAGTAAGATGGTCCAGCGAGTCACTATGGCCAGGGTGGGCCCTGGAGGACTGGAAGCCAGCCCTGCCCCAGGCAGAACCTGCACCTGAGCCTCTTTCCATAGTTCTGCCAAACAGCTGTCTCTCAGGAGTTGTGTGTCCTGGGCTAAAATGGCAGAACACTCACCTGCAATTGTACTTAACACAAAGAAAAAGCTCCAAGGAAGTTTTGGTTCTCTGACCAATGCAAACAAGATGTCCCTGCTGGGCCCAGAGCCCTGAACACGGGAACCGAAACTTGCCTTCAAGGACTCTGGGGAACACAGTCCTTGGAGAGCGCTAGCCTACCCTGTGTGAGTGAGGGCTGCCTGCGCGTGGGATGTGACCGTTCATTTTCCTTCGTGTGCTGAAACCCTCCAGTGGCATCTTGCCAGGACCACCTCTGCTGTGTTGAGGCCACCCTGGAATCATAGTGCGGAGACTTGACCTCCTGTCCACACAGTCACACTGCCTGGGTCAGAAATCAGGAATAAATGAACATAAACACACACACACACACACACACACACACACACACAACCAAAACAACACAGGGAATCTAAGAAGAATAATTCTGAAGTGTGAGCAGTTCAGGGTGTGAGGCCTGCAGGAACCTTGGGACTTCAAAGGAGCAACTTGGAGAGCCTGATCTCGTGGCTCTGCCCCAGCGTGGTGCTCATTAGCTGTGACAGAAGCAAGGAGGCAAGCTGAGTGTGAAGGAACAGAACCATCATCCCGAGTTTTCAAGGCTGAGGTCGGAGGATCTCCAGTGCACATGTAGCCTGGAATCATAGTGAGTCTGTGTGTAAAAATAAAGTACCAATGAGACAAAGAGAAAGCCTAAGAATGGAGACGACAACAGTTCCTCGTCATCCGTAACTCAGCCTTCCAAGCTCCTGATTGGTGCGTTATACAGTTTATGAAGCCAATCAGATGGCATCTGGAAAAAAAATAACAACAACAAAAAACAGTGAGGAACCGAAGACCTAAGTCACAATTCAAAGTTATAGTAAACTTTTCTGTAAGAACATATACCGTATTGGGGGAAAAGGTGTTTAAAGGTAGGTCATACAATTTTCCCTGGGGAAAATCAGGAAATAATAATTAAACACACACACACACACACACACACACACACACACACACACACAAACCAAAACCATCTCTGCAGAAGTATTCACGAGCACTAGGACTTCCAGGTGAGGGAGGACATGAGAGCATGAACCACATCAGCCTCATCTTACAGAAGAGGTGTCTGTAATCCCTTACAGATGTTTTGGTTTGGGAGAGGAAGAACATTCATTCATAAAGAAATCAAATATTAATGGTTACCTAAAACTGTCTTAAAAGTGGCTAAAATGAGCTGTGAGTGTCTTAAAGGTACAGAAAAGAGGCAGAGGAGCAGAAGTAGGAGCACAGTGGGGAGGGTGAGTGGGGAGTGAATGAGGAGCAGGGTGGGGGAGGGGGAGGAGCACTGTGGGAAGGGTGAGGAACATGAGGGGAGGGTGATGAGGAGCAGTTAGTGGGGTAGGGTGAGTTAGGAGCACAGGAGAGGAGGGTAGGTGAGGAGCACGGTTAGTGGGGATCTGCCAGCATAGCCAGGGTGGAGCAGCCATTATCTCTGGGCCTCATCTTTAATGGACTCTCTTGTATCCTTTGAAGCCAGCCCTGTTGGATTAGGCCACTACCCCAATCTTATACTCTAATTCCCTTTTAAGCCCTGACGCCACTCCCCTGGACCTCGGTGCATCAGGTATGGGCTCTGAAGGACAGTGTGCCCTTCCCAGCTCACACCTCCAGCTGAGGTTCACCAGCGCGCCAGCTTCTCCACACCCTGTCAGTGGTTGCTGGTGGGAGGCATGAGTGCCTCCTTGTGAGGCCTGGGGAGCATGCTCCCTGGGCACCCCTGGGCTCCCTGGGCACCCTGGGCTGTTCTCTTCTCTTTGGTTGCTTCGGCGCTGCCCAGTGTGCCAGCGATACAGATGGGGGGAAACAAAACCAGGACCTAGGATTTAGGTGCAGGGAAAACCTGGGTCATGGACCAGAGCGATCGGTGTGCGCTCTAGTCAGGTGAATGCAGCCCCTACCAGGGGCGGCCACTAACACCGTAACTTAAAGGCTGCAGAGCTTCCTGATGCCCCGGCTCTGTTACAGGCAAGGCCAGGGCTGCTCACTGTCTGATGGAAAACAAACCCTGTGGAGAAGCATGCTTGTGGAGGAGATAGGGTTTACCCTGTTTGCTGTAATCCTTACTGCCTGGGCCCTGGATCCAGTCAGAACAACTGCAAAACCGAAGGTTAACTGAAGTCAGCTGCGCCTCTTTGAAAGGACACACGCATGCCTGAAAGTGCGATGGGTCTCCATGAAACCCAGTTCTGCCCCCAAACTCTCAGATTGAAGGGCATGGCTGCTTCCTTCTACGCGCTTTAAGTGTGTAGCTTGGGATGGTGTCTGGCCTTTCCTCAGTGAGGCCCACAGAAGGCTCTGTTCTGCGCTTAGTTCACTAAACACAGATGAACACCATGTAGAGAAACAAGTCGGTGAGCCACTGCTGTGGACGGGCAAAAACCAACGGACAGACGAGCTGGGCGTGGCAGGGCCTGTGATCCCAACACCCCGGAGCTGGAGGCAGGACTCTGCTCACAAGCAAGCCTGTGCTGTCCAGCGAGACTCTGTGCCTGTGTGTGTGTGTGAGTGTGTGAGTGTGCCCGTAAGAGGTGACTTCGTCGGTGAAAGCACTTGCCCTGCAATCACGGGGACCTGAATCCATGTCAACAGTGCCAGGCGTGCTGGCACGTGCTGGCATCCTGTGCTGGGCAGAAGGCTGAGGCTCAGCAGCCTACCCATCCAGCTATCTGCTGAGCCGCTGGCCAGTGAGACTGGCCTCCAAGGAGGATGACAGCGCTCATTCGGGTGAGGCTGGGCTCGCCCTCTGCTCTCCACACGGACACACGTGCTTGTGCACCTGTACACACATGGGCCTGCACAGACACTTAATGAAAAGGGGAGGGAGGAGCGGTGGAAGGAAAGAAGGCCAGTACACTAAGGGGCTCCAGAGAACCTGGGCAAGCTGGTAAGAGCAAGACGGACCAGCCTTTGCACGGAGTCAAGTACCGGGAGGAGGAAAGGTCACTCTCAGGGTTAGACTTGAACAGTGAGAGCTGTGAGATCTGCGGAGGTGGGGAAAGGCACGCTAGGAGAAGGGTCCTAGAGCAACAACTCCCTCCTGCAGGAAGCCAGTGGGAACAAGGACCGGCCCAGGGTAGACAGAGGCAGGAAAGCTGGCCAGCTCTGAGGCCTGGGATTTCACGAGATTGTTATTTAAAACCTTTGTGTGCTGAGCATTTACTTTTTGCTGTGTGTAAAGCCTGGGACACCGGAGCCAAATTCCTTTTGAGGTTCCAGCTGGGTAAGTCTCCGTACACTCGCAGACTTTTAAAGGAAGATAAACTTTTAAATGCAAATTGCAGCTATCAGCCTGAAATAGTTGGAGGGAAGTTTGGGAAGTAAATCAAAGAGCTGCCTGTGCATCGGGGGAGGGTGGGGATGGGGCTCCTGCTGCTATATTTACACAGAACCTCCAGAGGAAGGAGTAAGGCAGGAATGGCAGATACGCCTGGCCTCTCAGGTCTATAAATAGCCCGCCTGCTATTTATAGGTGACCCACTTAAAAACACCCTGTGTGAGGTGGCTACCTGGGACCTGGGACCGTCAGCAGGATTGGATGGACCAGGCCCTCACAGCTGCCGCAGAAAAAGGACCTTCCATTTGCTGAGAGGATGGCTCAAAATGGAGCAGAAGGAGAGGGCTGGCATGCCAGGCTTCCCTCTAAGGTAAGAGATATCACTGTGTGCGGGACTCTGCGCCCTGAAGGAAGTCACCAGCTATTTCTCAGTCCCAGGGCTGGTAGTTGGTTTTAGATTTGTGTTGATTGCTGATAGTCAGCTGAGCTCGGTCTATTATGCTTGACTCCCTTTCTCAGCAGGGGCCCCTCCTGAAACCTAAAAACCTCTACGGAGGCTCCCGTGGCCCTCCAGGAAGATTACAGGACCCAGTCTTTCCTGATAAGAAACCTGTTGAGCAAACACCTGGGGATTCCTGGGGATACGCACCCTATGCTAATATGATGTCTGGGTGTCCAGCTTTCAACCGATGACCTTTAACTGTACTTGGAGATTTTCCTCCACCCATAGGATAATTAAGTACCATGTCTCCTCCTTGTGATAGGACCCCGTTACTGCATGTAAATGAGGCACTGGACCACTGCATGTAAATCAAGTATTCCTAGCACCTCTATCCCTGTCAGTCAAATGGTCACGCTCAAAACCCCAAAGTTTATAAATCCTTGGATTTCACATGAAATGAAGGTGCTGCATGACACCATCAGCTCTCCATCATTTATCCTGGGAAAGGGAGGGCTCCTCCTTCCTTCCTCTCCTCCATCCCTCCTCCCCTCTTCCCTTTTGCCTTTCTTCCCCTCCTCCTTCCTCCCTTCCTCCCCCCTCCCTTCTTCTTCCCCTTCTCCCTTTCACCCCTCCTCCCGGGGCTCAGCTACCCGACCACCATGAGCTCACTGACCACCCGGGGAAGCACCTGCCAGGCCTGGACCTGCCCTCCCTGCCGCCAGGCTTGTGTCTCCCCAGACTCTTCTGGCTTCAGACATCTGCCATGCTCAGCACGGCAGCTTAACCAAAAAGCTCTAACACTTTGGTATTGTCATAAGCTGTGGAACTCCCCAGTTTCCCACGGGCAAACTCATTTTAAAAGAGCCAACTAACCAACACCCCATGGAAAACTCACTTCCATCTCTCCAAGTGAGATCCAGGCCTCGCCCTGATGTGCTCTAGCTGTTCCTGAAAGGGGCCCTCTGATCTCAGAGTCGCTCTGTCCTTCATCCAGAGGCCAACAGCCTCGTGCATCCCAGACTCCCAAGAATGACAGCTAGGGTCCATTTTGAGTGTGGGGTGTGCTTTCAGCCAATCAGAATCCAGATCAGCAGGAGGCACTTTCTCCCCTAGCTTGCCTCACACTGAGAGCTGGGAAGGTTTGTGCCTGCCTCTGCTGTTTGACTGAGAAAAAGGGTGGTCTCAGGCCTCCAAATATTCACTAATTAAGGCTTTGCTCTTAAGGTAGTCTGGGGTATGTGGCAGTGCAGAGTCATCAGGAGACGACCCTGCCTGAGGCACCTGAGAGGGCATGCTCCATTTGGCTAGTACCTCTCATGAGAACAGGAGCAGGAATTTCTCCACACCAGGGCTACAGGAGCTGGAGAGAAGGCTCAGAAGATAAGCAGATATCCCGGGGCTTGATTTTTGGGACTCACGACCCCTAGTCAAGGAAATCAGATGTCCTCTGATCTCTGTGGGTACCAGGCATATAGTTCTTGAACAGACATACATACACTCAGAAACATAAACTCTGAAAAATAACAGTAAACTACTGTTTCTTGTTAAATGAACACATCTGTCTTTCCTTTTTCTCTGCATTGGTGTCCCTTTTTCCTTTGCTTGCACTAGTCTCTAATACATTACTAAGTGAGGATCGTTTTCCACATGAACTACCCACAGGCACACACACATGAATACATGCATAAAAACACACAAATAACACACCATTATAAACATGGAAGGCCACGGTAGGTTCTGGTGTCACTTCCCTCCGATATGTGATGCTCGGTCATTCGTGGTTGACAGGAAACCCCTAAAACAAACACTATTGTCTTATGCAAATATTCAAGCAGTCACACAAGTACAGAAAATAACCCCTGGGTGACCGAGCAGGACGGTTCGGACAGACAGGCGGCCGGTGCACATCTGTCTGTCTGTGAGATGGAAGCGGAGGCAGGAGAGCCCCGGAACCCTGCAGCCCAACTAGTCTGGAGCATGTGGCACCAACGAGAGAGGACCTCACCTCAGCAACATAGAAGACCGCAGCAGTTGTCCTCAGGCCTCCAGACATGTGCCGTGAACAGTTGGTCAGTACACACTGACATGCAAGTCATTAACCCCCCCCCACCCCCCCCCCCACACTAATAATAGAGAAAGCTGCACCATGAACTTTCACATGCTTCTTCACAGACTCTGGCTAAGATGAACCTCCCGGTGAGCCTGGCCCCATGTACTACAAGCTCTGGTGCCCAGCACCACCTGCAACAGGGTTGAGGGGCACACAGTTTGTAAATATATCCCGCCTGGGTATAGGGACAAGCTGGGTACACGGCTTGTCCTAGCACTGGAGGCCGAGATGGGTGGGCTGAGCAGTCAAACCTGGGTGCCACAGGGGACCCTGCTACCTCAAGACAAGCAAACATCAGGCCAAATTTCTGGTGGAACAAACCATGCCCTGCATTTGCCTCTTGGGTTCCTGAGTGATCAGGGGTCCCTGTGCGCTGAACTGCTAGGCCTCTACACTCAGCTGTCTTTCTAAAGATGGGAAGAACTAGCTTGTGTTGCTGCTGTATGAACTGGTGGTGCCAGGAGGACCAGGCGTATCCCGGCAGGCCCGGTGCCTGTGGACAGAGATGCTTCACAGCTGATGGTCACCTGCTCCCCTCCCCCTGGAGAGTACAGCTGAGGGAGCCATGACCGTGTCACTTCGTGGGTGTTTTTCTAGTCCATCCATGTGACTGCGATGCCATCCTGCTTACAAGCTCCCCTCAGCAGCATCTGGTCACTGGCAGTGACCCGAGGGTGATGAGCGCAGGGCCGTCTCCCTCAGAATCATCCACAATAGGGGCTGACGTGTGTCTTTGTGGGTTCTGACTCACACCAGGTAAGCAGGAAGAGAGACTCGGGATCTGCATCTCCTATGTGAGGCACAGGTTGGGCGTTGGTGAGCCTGGAGCTTGTGGACTTCCTGAGATGCAAAATCACCAGGCAGGCTGGCACTAACTTCCTCAGTGTGCAGCCTGCACACAACAGTCTCCAATGGCCAATGCTACTTCCACTAACCACTAGTCCCAGTCATTTATACCGTGTCCTCCCGTCTCACAGCGGTGAGAGGGAGGACTGCACACAGGTTTCCTGTCAGTGAAACAAGCACTCTACAGCCCAGCCCCTACCCCAATTTTCGGCGCCTTAAGATACTTCATGACTCCTCTCCCCTGGTCCCCTTGTTAGTCCCTCGTATTCCAGTCAGGCCTGCCGTGAGTGGGTTTCCACCCATGCTGCATTCTGGGTAAACTGACAAAACAGCCTTTCTGAAGACAAAGCAGGGTGGTCAGATGTCGGGGGAGGAGAGGACTCTCATCAGTGTCACTGACAGTTTTACTACACCCGACGCAAAGTCATCAGGGTAGAAGCTGAGTCAAACCTGCTGGGAAGGGGGCTTTGAGAAGCTGGACGTCCAGTGGGGGCAGTGTGGCCTGCTACTGATGGCCTGCTACCCGAGGGGGGGCGGGCAGTGACGAGGCCACAGCACTGCTTCCGATAGGTACTCTTGGACACTGGGCAGCAGGCTGCGCCTGAAATGGGCTGAACACCCTGTTTATTTCCACTTTTTGATTTCTTAATGAAGTGGGATCTGCAGGGACAGGGATAACATAAAATATTCAGACAGATGTAGATAATATCAAGTATAGCTAGATGACAGATGGTGATAGATGATGGAGGGACGGACGGATGGAAAGACATACAGACGCGGATCTGCAAAGAACAGTCTCGGCTCGCCGAATCGCTCAGCACCACGTAGCCGCTCCAACAAAAGCAGGCGACTAGGGTTAGGTAGGGAAACAAAACCAAATCTCGCGAGAGCGCCGCCATCGGCCGCCGTCTGCGCGACTCTCGCCGCGGCTTCCGGCCGGCGGGCCGGGCTGGCGGCGTCGCCCAGGGCAACGGCGATGGCGGCCGAGGCGGCCGGGCGGCTCTTCTCGCTGGAGCTGCTGGTGGACTGGGTGCGGCTGGAGACGGGGCCGTGGCCGTGCGCCGCGGGCCCCGCCGTGGCGTTCCGCCTGCTGGACTTCCCGCCGCTGCTCGTCCTCCCACCGCCCGCGGCCAGCCCCGAGCCCCGGAGCGGCGCCATCAGCTTCGGGCGCGGCAAGGCCTGCCTACTGCGCCTGCGCCCCGCCGGCCTGCGGCGCCCGCGCCTGCGCGCTGCGGTGCTGCAGCTGCCCGGGGACCCGGGCTGCGCGCCGCGCCCGCTCGGGGCGTGTGACGTCCTCCTGGAGGCCTGCCCGGGCCAGCGGGCCGTCTTCACCCTGCGCGGCCCAGCGGCGGAGCGCGTCGGGGAGTTGGCGCTCTTCTACCGCCTGACCGACCTGGGACGCTTCCCTCCGGGGCCTGGAGGCCCGCTGAGCCCTGGGGACGTCCTGCAGGGGTCGGAGCCGCGAACTCGCGAGAGCCCGAAGCTGGGCACCCGAGCCTCCTCGGCCACGAGCCTGCAGCGTGCCGCAGACGGATGCCACTTGGAGGCCCCGGAGCCACTCGCCGAGGACACCAGCTGCTGGTGTGCAGAGGACTGGGTCCCCTTGGCCGAGCAGAAGGTCTGGGAAGAAGCCATCTTACACAGCTTGGCCAGCTCTGGGGACATATCTTGCTTGTCTTGCTCCCCTGCGCCCAGTGAGAGGTCTGCCAGTCCCCTCAGCCCGGAGGCCACAGAGCTGGACTTTGAAACCAACACCTTTTGCCCCCCTCCTCTGTATTACACTCACCTGACTCAGGAAAAGACTCCTTCTGCCAGGGTTGAGATCACTATCGAGCCTGAGAAAAACGGACCCGAGGGTCTGGATGCCGTTTTTCCCGAAGCAGAGCCGATAGGTCCTCCCGCAGGTCCCGTGCGATCTGCGGTGTGGGAGAAGCCCTCGGTGCCTCTAAGTCCTCCGCGGACGCGGCGTTCCGAAGCAGCTAACAAGTCGGCCTGTCCCCCACAGGATGAGCAAAGTGCAGCCAACGCAATGAGACACCTGCCGCTGTTGAACGCTTTATTGATCGAGCTGTCCTTGCTGTGCAACCAGCCCATGTCAGAACCCTCTCAGGTTCATCCCCACCTAGCCTGGTTGTACAGAGGTGAGCAACACCAGGGCCCAGAACCTCCCACCAAGTCCTCATGTCGGTCAGAATCAAAGAGCAGCAAGCTTTCCGGGCGAGAAAGTGAAAAGCCTTCGAGTGTTCAGTCTAGGAAGAATCCTAAAGGTAAACGTTCAGAGAAGACCAGTGGCAGCCCACCACGGCCTCCCAAGGGGAAGCTGCTCTATGGCTTAACAAACTCACTGAGGCTGCGTCTAAAGCAGACAAACCCCAACATGCTGGCCATACATGAAAAGAGGGAACAGTATAGAAAGTCCCAGAAACAGGCTGTGGGCCCAAAGTTCCGAGTCCGGTCATGGAAAGAGAAAAAAGGCTCAGGCTTGGCGGCACATGGCGGGGTGCCACCTCAGCCCCTGATGAACGAGTCTTCACTCTCAAATGGGTCCCTTGCCGAAGGCAGTGATACTTCAGTGCAAGTCAGCACTGGCTTTGATGAGTCAAGTACAACTAAAGAAACAAAAGGAAGCCATGCTGTGAAGAAAGAAACCGTTGATGGGAGGGAAAACAGACCCAAGGATGCTTTGCCGGAAGCACCTATGAGCTCTGCAGGCCCCATTATTCCAGAAAGATTTCCTCACTCAAATATTTTGGGAGGAAAATCAATGAAAGTCCAAGGCCCAGGGCTTTCCCAGCAGGATCCTACTGTTGACAGGAATGCAGATGAGGGGAGAGATGGTGGGCAGGTCAGAGTGGAAGACATCGTGCCTGCCGATACAGGTGGAGACCAACCACCCAGTAGGCAGAGTTCCTGTGAGAGCGTCTCAGAGCTACAGTCCCAGCATGAGTGCAGCAGCCTTTGCTATTCGGAAGACTTCTGCACCAGTGAAAACGCCAGTACCACAGGGGCAGAAAAGGCAGGGCATGGTTCACAGGCAAGCCAGCCAGGCGAGGCTGGGCTGTCCACACGGAAAAACAGCAGTGACGCGGGTTCTGTGCTCACCCCCGCCTTTTCCGCTGGCTCCCCCGTGTGTTCACGCAAGAGCTCTCGGGTATTGAAGACTTATGATAGCCTAGAGGACGTAACCAGTCTATCCACAAGTGACTTTTTATCACAATGGACAAGTGAGAAGGAAGACAGGGCAAATCCTGTGAGTACAGGTAGTTCAAAGGTCATGAGGAGATGTCAGGACAGCTCCACAAAACTTAAAGCAGGGGCCAGTCACAAGTCATCTGAGAAAAGCCAGTCACCAAGGACATCTCAAGTGAGTTCTTATGAGCCATCACATTTGTCTGAGCTAGAGCTCAGGGCTGTAGACAACCATGTGTCATCTGACCTCCAAGAAGACGAAGATAGCCTTGGCTTACTACGTATCTCCAAACAGTGCCGAGATATCTGTGAATTAGTAATAAATAAGCTTCCCGGGTACACAGTGTGAAAGTATGCTGCTTTCGGAAACTAGCTGTATAGCTGATGAGTGCCAGTCCTGCAGAGATAACCTGAGTACGTGTGTGGTAGTTCTTTTAAGAAGTGTAAATAGTTTGTTGTTGTTTAGCACCTTACCCTTCAGGCTGATGCTACTCTGAAGTCGCTGTTATGCTTAGGAATTATTGCTTTGTAAGATGCTTAAGATTAAAGTTTGTCTGTATAATCTCCAAACGGATCTGTCTTGAAGTGAAGATTATTTGAAAGTTGTCGTTTCTTGCACCACTGTAAATAGGGCTTGTTACTAAGTTTAGCACCAGTGTGTAACGAGAGTCAGTTTTCTAACAGGCGTGCTGGAGCTGGAGAGGAGCAGTGTGTTTGTGATCTACCCCTGCTGCTGAGAATTTACACACCCTCATGACATTTTGTTCCTTTATTTTTCAGTCTCTTCTCTTACTTGGTTAACACTTACTTGAGCTTATGTTCTTTGATGAGAGAGCCTGTCTTGCACACACCGATATTACCTGAGTTCTTAGGAAGCTGCTGAATGAATGCCTTGGTATTTGAAATGCCTAGTGTAGGCTGTAGCACTGATACTAATGAGAAGGGTGGAAACTCCCTCGTGGAGACAGGTTTGGGTGATGATTTCCTTTTGCTGAGTCTAAACACCCGTCAAGCATTCTCAGGTGTTCATGGAGAAAAGAGTGAGGCTTCATATTCCACAAGCTTGCATGAGTAGGAGAGTTTTGTGATTGCACACTTCCTTGTGTTTACTGAACGCTTGTCTTTTCAGGTTGCTCGGTGTTTATTTTAAATGTGGGAAGACTGGTTTCACAGAGCCCAGTCATCAGTTGCGTAACTCTTCATTGACTTTAGACTTCATCCCCTGTTCTAGTATCTGTAGGCATTTTCCTGCATCTGTGTTGTACTGTAACTTTTAAACATTTTGTTGTAGCTAACGTGAGACCTGTGAGGCAGAGCCCCGATTTTCCTTTCTTTATGAACAATTACATAACTGTGTGGCCACGTTCCAAGTGACTGTGCTAGCAGGTAAATGCAGTGACACCGAGAAGAGGACATTCTCTTTCAGGCGTCATTATGAATAAAAGAGTGAGGATAGGAGTGAGCCTGGCGTTCCTGGAGGGGAGAATGTCATCTCGATGCTATGTTCACATTAGTGTAAAGGAAATTTGTTGCACAAGGGAAGTTCCAGATTGTAGGGAGACTCAAACTCCAAGGTCGTAGTCAAGGTGTGGGAGATAGCAGCACAACAATGGGCAATTCGAGAGCGCCAGTAAATGTTCATGGCCTCCGAATATTGTAAAGTACTGGAAACAATTATTCGGGTAAGAAGCTAAGTCTGCAAATGTAAAAGGACTTCTGGCTGAGGAGTGATTTTTCTTTGTCTGAAAATATGAAATGCGTGCTGTATTTTGGTTTTGTAAGGCATAGCCTGGTACTCAGACATGAACTGTGCAAATTGTTTAATGACAGTTTTTTTCATGGATGAGACAAAAATACCTATTAGAAGGATCATCAAAGATGGTGTGAAAAATGCTCCTCACAGGTTGGTGTGTGTGAACACTTGGTCCTTGGGGCTGTGAGGACTTACAGCTCTGTCCCAGTGCTCTGGTTTTCATCCTCTCTTGCTCTCTTTCTCTCAGATAAAAATGTGATGAGCTAGCTTCCTGTTCCCACAGCTATGCTTTCCCTGCCCGCTTCCATGCCTCGTTCACCGTGAACGCTACCCCCTTTCATCATCTTAGTAATGATATTTCATCAGAGCAGCAGAAGAACAGCCAGTACAGAAGCATTCGTGCTTGTTGTTTGAGTCCTCTGTGATGAGAAGACTGAGGGAAAGACCTCCCAGTGTGGAAGGTGCACGCACAGGAGCTGAGCCATGACCAGGGTGGAGAGGGCTAGCTCAGCTCCTGTGAGCTGCTCCAGGGAGGCCTGGCTCTCAGACTGTGTGCCGCATAGCTCAAGCCTAAGGGAGATGCTGTTATCATGTACTTAACATCATGTGTTACACCCTGTCCTCGGGTTTGGCCTTGTGTTTTAATTCTCTAAGCTTTGGGCTTGCTTTTTTAATACTTTCACAGATGGTGTTACTTATAAAACCTGACTTTATCTGACATGACTAAAGTGACTGAAACATGAAATGCAGTTCTAGGGTCACACATGGGGCCCTGTCGTTTCACGGTAGGGCCGTCCTGTGTTTTTGTAATGGCTGGATAAAAATGGCTGCTGACAGAGGTGACTGACAGGGTCCAAGCAGTGCTACACTTGGTACATAGGGTGCCCAGAGCCTTGGCCATGCCAGGCTCGTGCTTGTCACCAAACTGCATATTCAGCCCTGGGCCAAGGCTTGAGAAGTGGAGTCAGTGACAGAAGTGGTCACTGCTGTGTTTGCAGCTCAGGAGGCAACCATGAGGGTGAAGCCTTTTGGACTGTTGATATAGACGCTTTCACAGAGGTCTGGACAGATGCACCGTGGCTCCCCCAGTTCACATACCTGTTGGTGACGGCTCCCTCAGAACATCGTCATGGATTCTTACCATAGATCACTGTTGAGAGCCACCCCCTCACTTTTACATGACTTAGGGGTTAGACGTCTGCAACCAACATACCGGTCAAGATTGGAAATTTAAAATGACTTTTTAATTACCACATTGTTACTGGCAAGGTGAAGAGATGTCATAACAAAGCAGTGTACAAACAAGATCAACAGTATTTTACTGTTAACTGAGTCTAGCCCCAAAGGGCAGTCATTCAGGCTTTATGTCTCACTTGCGTTAAAGGATACAGAGCTATGCAGGAGGGCAGTGGGCCAGCCAAGACTTGGGAGATGTTTTAATGAGAAGCTACTTGGTCAAGGACCAACACGTTCTCTCTGCCTGACTTTCTTCCAGACCTGCCCACGCCAGGCACAAACACTGTAGGAGGAGTCACTGGGCTCCAGTGCTAAGCCTTCTGTGGGAGACCTGTGTCCTTGTTCACACAGTACGGAAGTCTATCATACATACATGTCCACTGTAGGGGAAAGAAAATTCAGAAAAATGTTATGCTTTTACATTGTAGAGGAAAAGGTTTAGTCCTTCCTCAAATTCCACAGAACTAGCAGGAGAAATAGACATTAAGAAATTAACCCAGAGAGGCCCAGAATATTAAGGAAAGTACCAAGGCCTTGAGGTGTAGTTCCTTGGAAAATATCTGCCTACCATGGGCAGGGAAACCTGGGTTTGGTTCCCAGCACTGAAACAAAAATAACAGGAAGAAGGTCATGGTTGGGTTGGTGAGGTAGCTGGCCAGCAGGTACAGTGTCGCTGACACACCTGCCTACCTGAGTTTGACCCCGGGAACCGCTCTTAACCACTCTTGAGGAGTGGCGCTCTTAACCACTGAGCCATCTCTCCAGCTCCAGGATTTTCTTTTCTTTTTAAATGATGGCTCCCTGCAAAACGTGGCTTTACAGCCGTGCTGTAGCTCTCATGTTTAGTCTTGCAGAAGTTCTGGGGACACAAGTAACCAGACTGAACATTCACTCTGTGGGGCACAAACACAATGACCGCCCCTCACGCTGCAATGGTCTGAGGTTGCTCCGGGAGTTAGGCCCGTCGGCCAAAACCCAGTATCAGAGCGAACCCCAAGATTGCAAATGGCCCATGATCCTGCCTCTCACACAATTGATCGCTCCTGCCTGTGGTGCCAGCTCATGCCACCCGCCACCAGCTGCATTGCTTGCCAGCTTCTGTGGCTCCTACCTCCATGACACTGTGGCACTAGGCGATTGCTCACCTCTGTGGTCAAAGCGCCCTCGAAAGTCACAAGCACAGCGCGGTTTGGGATTTTGTGAGTTTGTGGTCACACGCTCTTCTCTGCACTGCTCTCTGCCTTGACTTTGATGGTTACATGGGGGAGTAATTCCCTTGAGTGCAGGACACGGAAGCTCCGGACATTGCCTGTGTGCCCTGTGAGTGTTGACACAATTGGGTAGGGACACTACAGCGGCATGTGCTTGTATCTCACAGTCAAGCTGAGGGCTGCTGTGTGTATTTCAAGGAACAGAGTAAAGGAATGCCCACAGAGCACAGACGTGGACCCCGTGAGCCCAGAACTGGCTTTTACTATGGAATGTTTCCAATGATTGAGAGATGTCTTGGTGTAGACTGAACAGACTCCATACATGCGTCACCAGTTTGACCCAGGGTGGACTCTGGATGTGAGTGCTTGCCTCTGCCTTGCCCCTTCTTGTCCCTTTGCCCTCCTTTTCATAAGTGGGCAACTTACCAGCAACTACCCCACTGAGGAGAATAACCCCCATTTATCTTCAAGAAGGGCTGGGCCTCATAAGCCCTTCCGGCCTTCACGATGAACTGTTCATTGGCCCCTTCTCCACGGGCATCTCAGCTGCTGAAGGTTCAGAGGTCAAAGACCACGTCTTGCCTGGAGGGCGCATCTCACACGTGGTATCTGGAAAGACAAACCCACTTGTTTGTTTGTTTTGAGACAAGGTCTCTGTTACACAGCCCTGGCTGTCCTGGAACTCACTATTAAGACCATGCTGGCCTTGAACTCACAGAGACCCACTGGCTTCCACCTCCCAAGGGCTGGGATCACAGGCTTGTGTCACCACACCTGGTGGCAGTGATGACTTCCATTGCTGTTTTCTTCTTTTGACTTTTCTTTTTAAAAAAAGAAATCATAAGCTTATGTGGGTATGTGTGAGTGCAGTGGCCTACAGGAGCCCAAATAAAACATTGACTGGGACTGGAGTCACATGCAGTTGTGAGCAGCAGATCATGACTGCCAGGGGCAGAACCCAAGTCCTCCGGAAGTCTGGCCTTAACCACTGAGCCTCTTCTTCAGTCCCTCTTTGCTATTCTTAATGGACCCTTTAAATATATATACATGTATTCCTTTAGTTGAAATATGCTGGCTTGACACACTGATTTCAGTTTGAGTAACTTTCCTGGATACTTCTGCTCTCAGAATCTGTCTGTAGATTCCACTTTCCTTCTGTGGGCAATCATCAGTTATGAACTCTGTGCCTCATTTTACACAGCACAGGGGACAGGAAAGGGCACAGTGGGGCAGCCAGCATGTCTATTCAACCAGGGTTTTTCAGGCATCAAGTACAGAGATCAGAGCAGATAAAGTGAAGGTCACAGCCAGGCCCACCACTTCTTACTGATAGTGTAAGCAAGAGCAGAGGACCAGGGAGACGGCTTGGTGG